ATAAGAATCGCGCCATAATTGTAGCTGACCCATCGAACCCACCGGTATACTCACGACATGGCCGGCCTTTTTCATTGGCCAGCAGGGATGTCGGAAGCTGGTGGACGCGTCTGCTATATTTTTGCGTGGTATGATTTTAACGTGACTTCACATTAGGATATATATTATGCTTTGGAATGAATGTGAATTGTGAGGGATTGCGGACGTGATGACTGTTTATAGCTTTTCGTTGTCAGCTATCAATTTGACAAGCCGCCAGCTGTCTCATCAAATGTCATAAGCTGTCACCTGCGTGCGTCGGCGAGTCGGAGCTTTTTTTCACCCCTGGCGGCGGGCCCGTGCCAGCGCCGTGGGGCGCTCGCAGGGAGTCCCCCGCAGCTGTGTCCTGGCGGCGCGCGTTGTGTCTCACTGACAGCTTCTGTGAGAACGCGGCGGGCACGGACCGGGCCGGGTGCCAGCCCCTCTCAGCGCCCCATGAATGGAGAGGACTTTAGGCAGTCTCACGTGTGGGGCTCCCTGTCACCGCCTTGTATCGGTACCGGCGGGGGGCCGACGCGCCCTGTAATTTGGAGCGGCGGGTCGCGGTCGCGGCTTAGCAGTGCTTTATGTCTCGTCCCGGGACACGCGCCGCGGGTCTGTGGGCGGCCTTGGAGGCCCGCCGGCCATTCAGGGGCCGTGAGCCGTGCCGCCAGAGATCAGCCAGGTCCGCTCCAGGGTCACCACGCTCTGGCCAGTCGCGCCGCCCGCCCTCCTGTCCCCTCGTACCGCCCTCTCGTTAGGTCTGTCAGCCTCGTTTGCTCAGTACGTGGGGCATCCCAGAAGGCCGCATTGGCCACACGCACCACCAGCACAGATATCTCGGTCAGCTCTGTAAGTCGTCCGACTCAGTTCCACTACATGACCAAAGGTCCCGTGGACCTCTGACCTCAAATTTCTACACCGGTAGGTACCTCACAGGCAGTTCATTGTCCTTCATGATTGCGTGGGGCTTGCAGATGCTCCTTCAGCGTCCCCTGCTCGCGCCGGTGGTCCTCGCACCTGCGAACCTCGCCGTGCGGTTGCGCGGGGCTGGCGCGCACACCTCGCATCCGTCGCCTCGGGCGGTACACGCACACCGTCGCCGGCTGACTCAGAGCGTGTCAAAGGTCACTGAGGTCGCGGACGGTTGCCCAATCGGCTGCGGCTGCCGGATGACAGGACACTGGTGCACGCGGTGGGTCGCGTCGTGGCGCGGTGCTGGGATCAGGTGGCGTGTCGCGAGGGTAGAGACTAGAGAGGGGGCATCGTTCACTCGGAGTGCCTAGCGAGCCGTGACATTTGGATGCTCTGGTTCTAAAGAAGCTTGTTACGATTTGTCATAAACAAATACACCGAACTTGATCTCTTATACCGATAAGCTAACGTCTCCTTGGTTTTCTGTCCAGCCTTATTATAATAAGGCTCAGAAGACTCTTAGCTGTTCAGATTTCATTTATGCTACATTTCGGCAACAGAAAGCCGAAAAATTAAGCGTCTGTGTCGTCTCTAAGGCCATTATCCTGTCAAATCTAATGTAATCAGTACCAAACAATACCACACTTAATGAGCTCATGTCGCCGTTTTGTCGCCATAGCGGTGACGGTGTTCCTGGAAAGGCCCAGCCCTGGGCCGAGTGAGCCTGGTTTCTCGGCGCGGCCGGCGGCGGTCGGTCGCTCCGGCTCGCTCGGCCGTTCGCTGGGTCGGTCGGCGGGCGGGACGATCTATTGACCCGGAGTGTGGCGCTCGGCCTAGAGCCGACGGTTTGTGAGGCTGGGGTGGTGAAGTCAGAAGTGGGCTGCTCCGTGACTCATAACAGAGAGAAGTCACGGCGGGCACTAAATGATGAGCTCGCGGACCGGTGCGACTATAGCTTGAAGAGTGGCTCCTTTCAGATCATCGGCAGATATTTTATAATATTGAATATCTATACTACCCGAAAATAATGTCTCCTCGCTCATTTCTAGGAAGACAATCCCACTGCAGCCTTGCCCGCATCTGAACGTGTCGCCCTGGTTCCCAGCCACGAGCCGTGACCTTTTGCCATCGGCTCTCCCCGTGTCGTGCCGGAGGCCGTGGCCTAAGTTCGTGACCCGGGACACGGCCACCAAACGGCGTGTCATCTCCTGTCGCGCGCAGATGTCTTACACTGCAGCTATTGCAGATGTGCTACTATAAATATAGTCGAAAACCTGCACCGCTTTCCTAGTAAGGGCCGCCACGCTCAAATCAGATATAAAACGGCGTCAGAAAATTAATGACCTCGTTAGTTACCGCTGTCATCTCTCCTCTCTCGATGCCGTCTATGGGCCGACAATCATTCCAGGGCTGTCCGACCAGCCGCTCCATCCGGCGTCAGGGGTATCTGACCTTCCGCGACTCCTTGAAGCCGCCGCCGCCGCCGGCAGACTATCCTCGCACTCGACTCCCATAGCGCGACATGAGCCCAGCGTCGGCAAATCGGATTTGTCGTGTCGCGCTGAGCCGGTCTGATGGCCGAGGAGCGGTCCGATGGTCCGATATGGTCCGCCCGGTCCGGTCCCCACCCCGGCGGCCCCGGACCGCGGCCGGCTCTGTGTGTATGCTCTGTGAGTGTGTGTTTGGGCTCGGTACGGCGGCACGTGGTGGTGGCCCGCCGACCACCACCGTTTACTCTGAGCGGTGACGGGCCGCTCACAGACGAGTACGGAGTGACCGTCGTACCCCCTCCCCCCCCCCCGCCGCCCCCGGCGTTCCTGCTTTTGAGTGGGCGGAACGGCAGTCGGCACCTCTGGATGTGCTCTACATACTTACGGGCTTATTCACTGAAAATACAAATCGAACACTGCGTGTAGGCATTTCAACAGCCGTGTCTGCGAATGTGCTCTCTTGAGACCCTTGTCGTTTTGGGACTGTGTTGAAAGATTCATTTTATATTTTTCATTTTATTATTTATTTAAATGTTATGTAATTATTATGCACGTTATTTCATACCAGATCACAGCATTTATGTAACCGCCTAGTCCAGCGACGCAGCCGAACTGATATCTGCGTCACGTTCCTTGATTGCAAATCAGCAGACGTTTCATGGGACGATCGAGCCGAAAAAAAATGTATCAACTGGTCCACCCCGTCTCCGGGTGACTACCCACCGGTATCCGCTGGGAAACTGATTTAATGATGCTCTTCATAATGACAGCGATTGTTGCGACACGTGTTTTTATTCCCAGGGCAGACCAGCATCTTGCTGCTAAATCGTATATCTCACACTGAGCAATCCAGGTATACATATGCGTACCGTATCAGTGCTTTTACACGCTTGAGTTTCTTTACAACACATGAGAATCGAGCTCCTTCTCCGGAAGTGAACGCTCTCAGACTGCAGGTTTGAATATGCATGGTGCACAGGCGGCTGACCTCGCTTCTCCACCCTCCCCCTCCCCGCCCAGACCCTGCCCCTCCTGTAGCCCTTCCGGCCGGTGCAGTAGACCTGCCATTACCGTATAGTGCAGCTGACTGGGCAGTGGTCGGTTCCTGCGCGCGGTTTGACCGGCCGGCTGTCCTGTGACGGATGGTCGCCACTCGTATATCCGCCGCAGCCTGCACCCTATCTGACCGACGAGGGGCCAGCGTACGGGGGCGACGCTGCCTCTGACCCACCAGGGAGCAACGGCACGGAGCGGAGCGGAGCAGCTTTGCTCGTGAGAGGATGGTGCCTGCGAGAAGATCTGTGCACTGTGCAGGATCCTATCCTCCTACGCCGCCACTGTGCGTGTTTGTGTGCGTGGGTGTGTGCGTGCGCGTGCACCCCCACCCGCTCGTTAGCCGTCACCCCTGCGCCGCGGCGCGCGACGCACGGCGCGAGGCAAACACCATCCGCACGCACCGGCCAGGTCAGCGACCGGGGCGGGCGCGCGGCGGCGGCGTGCGAGGTGCATCGGCCCCGGCGGGAAACCGTGCCGCCGAGCGGCGGCGCCGTGCACCGCGCCGGCGACCATTGTGGCGCAGTGTCGACACTCTCGGTGTGTGCGGGAGGGGAGGGGGAGGGGTGTCAGCAGAGCGCACCACGCGCGGCGTGCCGTCCGCTTGCTCCAATAGACCGCGCTAGGTGTGTCGAGCCGCGCCGTAATAGGATTTCGGCGTCAGGATAATGCCGCCATTGCATATGTGGGCTAACGCGGCGTGCCATTGTCTCGAGCGGCATTTGTTCCGAGCGAAGCCGTTTCGCTGGGCGGAGATGTCACGCTCCCTTTTCGGCCAACGGTGCGGGACCAGATATAGCGATAGATGAATTATTTGCTCTCATAAATGGCGGTACTTTTCATCCGAAGAATTTTATATTTTTAAGCGGACCTTTATCACATTTTGAAGCAATGCTGTCCTTGATAATTATAACATTTTATATTTTCATGAAAAGCAGTATCCAGACAATATGAATTTTGTCAAAATGCTTCAATTCATCAGAACTGAATCCTAGAACAAATAGTTCATGTTCGTGTTGTCTTTTACTGCGTTGTGGTAATCGCTGTTCGTTGCCATTTAATTACTCATGCACTTCCCTGATTTACATCGTCCTGCGTCACAGGTCCTCGTCACAGGCGTGTCCTCGGTGGTTCATGACCCGTGACCTGAAACTGTTACCCGCTTCAGCGAACGCGCTTTGAGCGGCCGCGCTCGCTCTACCCATTGGCGTGCACCTGCGGCCGTCCCCCATATGCAGTTATAGACTGTGACTGCGCCGTGTTCCGATTGGTGGAAATCAGACCGGCGCCACCAGGCCATTTCGCTTTAGAGTCGAGGTCAGCCGTTTTATGCAGAATAGGTAATAAGTCACTCAGATACTGTGTAAATAGGCTTGTAGCTTTGGTATGTGGCTAATGATGTCTGTTCTATCTCGTGGTGGTTTCTACGTCATTTTGTGACCTGCTGTGCGTTCTGTGAGCCTGTCGCGCCCCTTTGCGTGTGACTGCGTGACCGTGCTGATCCATGTCTCTCTTTTGTTGCAGAGTGAGCGAGAGGGCGCAGCTCGGGACCGCGAGCTGTCTGCGGCGACCGGTGACCACACCACTGCCAGGTAAGGGTCAGAGACGAACATACAGGGAACCGAGGTGGTAGGGGGAGAGAGAAAAAATGAGAGGAAGAGAAAAGAAGGGAAGTGGGTATAGGATGCAACAATGAAAAAAATGAAGTTCATGAATGGAGAAAAGAAAGACATTTCCATGTCCCGATATTGATAGGGAGTTGCAGACCTAGCTGACGGCAGCTGCAGGTGGGCAGCTCTGGGCTAATCCAGATTGTCCTTTTCATGAGGCGACTCGGTGCACAACAGTTTGTTCTTGAAGGAAGACCGTCCTTTCTGGACTGATTGTCAAGGCTGCGTATGCTGCTTTCGCTTTTCAGCGATACGGAATGGCCAACCGGAATGAGACATATCCTACAGTTCCGGCTTGTATGGCAACCCTCTGGGCAACAGCCTGGTTTCCTTGCATCGAGCACACATTTGCATGCATACTTGATCGGTGGGTTGTGTTTGACACGCTTTTTTGGGCCGATGTCGCCGCACGCTGCTGCTCGATGGTATGCTGATCAAGATAGCGGCTGGGATGTAGACGTAGTGTGACCAGTGGGCCAACGGATGTGAGCAGTCAGCAGGCATCCTGGCTCGAGCAAATAGTGGAGTCATTCTCTCGTCCTCAGATTCCCATTTTCAACCCTGTTCGATTGGAGGCGCCGCGCTGGCAACGGGTGGCAACGTTGCTATAATTCATGAGCGACGGGCGGTGGACATGTCTGTCCGTCCGCTCCGGAGGGCGGGGTGCCGGTGGGCGCGGTCGGTGCTGTCGGCCGACCCTCCTCTGCCCTCCACCCAGCCCTCTGTCCCGTCCGGTCCTCTGTCCGACGCAGCCAGCCCTCTGTCCGGTTCAACCCCTGTCCCGTCCGGTCCGGTCCGGCTGGTCGAACGGGTTGGCGGCGGCAGCGACAGAGTGGCTCGTTTCCGCTGAGCCTGGGTGCCATGTGAGCGGAACCGGCGCCCACGGCACCCACCCAGCCATCCCGTATCGCACACCCACAGGAGATCCCCTCCCGGCTCCCGCAGCGCGACCGACTGGGCTTTCCCGCCGGGTGGGGTGTTCGCCGGTCAGCTCCATGGACGCCGAAGCCCCGGTGAAGCCAGCGCCACCGCTGCGCTCCGCGGTCAGAGAGCGGCGGCGGCGGCTTTTTCGTCTGCCGCTCGCCGTACCGGCCGAGTCGGTGGGTCGGTGGCCGGTTGCGACACCCCCAGGCTCCGGCAGCCACCAGCTGCCCATAACCCGGCGCGCCGCTCGGCTCAGCGCGGCCGTGAGCTATGGCGGCGGTCGGCCGGCCGTCCAACGCGCCGACCAACCGGCCTGCCGGCCGCAGCCGGTACGGAGGGCTGCCCGATGATCTCTCGAGGGCGGCCTGAGGCCCCGCGCAGGTCGACGTCCGGCCGACACCGCGGACGCGGCGGACGAGAAAACATGGCATGCAGTGGCGAAACGTGACGCAGCACGGCCGATGGCGGCGAAACGTGGCGCGGACAGGTGCGTCGCACACAGCCGGACAGTCATGGCGCATGGAACGGATGGCTCGCTAAAGCGGATTTCTTTTGATTGCTGCGCAGTACTGTGCAAAGCTAGCGAAGTTGATGGCACTTTCGGACACAGCAAATACTGGCATGACGGGCTGGACTGACGCTCAACAGACGGGCCCGACCGGCGCACCAGATACCTCGCGCTCTTCGGGACAGTCTATGAAGTCCGGATCCGGGCGTCGGTCGGTGGACCGGAGGAGAAATTATCACCGTCTAAAGATGCTATCGGCGCCGGCACTCGGCGCTGGCCGGCGGGCAGCGTTAGGTGCGATCTACGAGCCGCCCGGACGGCCAGGTTTATCGCCGGCGCCTCGTCGTTCCGCGGGGCCCGGGAGTCCCGTCGTGGCCAGTGGCCGGCTGTGCACTGAGGACGGAGAGCCCGCACGCCGAGCCGGTCAGGAGAACCGGACCGAGCCGTGCCGACCGCCGCGCCGCATAGCAATGAGACGCGGCCGGCCGACCGGCAGCCGCCCGCCGCGGCCCGGCAGCTCACCGCCGCCGTCCGCCACCGCCGCCGCCCGCTGCACCCGGAACTACCGTCCATGCTCCAGGCGTGCCCTCCCCCGCCGCCAGACGCGGCCGCCCGCCGCGGCGGGCCCTGTCAGGCCGGCGGAGAGGCCACTGAGCCGCGCGCCGGCGTGGCCCGTGTATGTGTCAGGGGGCGAGGTCACCGCTCAGCGGCCCCGCAGCCCGCTGGGCTGTCGGCTCCGGCACCTCTGACTGCCGTCTCGGAACCCGATGCGACCCAGCAGTGCAGGCAGGCTGGCAGCCGCAGAGATGGGCGTCTCGGTCTGCAACGCGCATGGAGTTTGACGTGGCCATAGTCCGGTTGTTTGCAATGCTGCTAATGAGGCATGAGGCTGTTGGCAGAGCGAGTGAGAGACAGCTGTCAGTAGTGCAGGGCGTGAGCGAATGTCATGAGACCAAAGCCAGAGCCTTGATGTGGGTACGCCGTACCGACCGGCGAATGCATGCCGCATTCAAAAGCTGCTATGAAAGCCAGCCTGTTACGACCATCATCACCGACAGAGCCTAAATGAAAGCGGGCTGGTGCCGGCCGCAATGGCAGCCATAGCCACGGCGAAACCGGCACATCGCAGCCCACATCTGCAGAGCCCGCCGGCCGGTGACGTCACGGCCAGGAACCGGTACGATCTGCCACGGCTTAGGAACGAGTTCCAGATTAGCATTGTTCGGCGTCGCTCCTTCCTGCGTGCCGTGCACGGGTGAACCTTGGAGCCCGCGGCGGTGGATGAAGACGTCCCTGAACTCCGCAGTGGTGTGACATGTGCCCTCGTCTACCGCAGCGCCTTCACAGCTATAAGACAGGTTTGCCGCTGTCCTGCCATCGCTTCTAGACAGAGAACCGCAGTTGTGAGTGGCGGACTGGGCACGGCGGCTTGTGGACTGTGCATATGACGTCATAGCTCGGCCCATTGCGTCACAGTGGGCCCACTGTCAGTGCTCGCTCCAGGCTGACGGCACGCAGGACGTGGATGATGACGTCATAGGCGACCAGTTACGCGGTGGAACGTAGCACGGTCAATCGAAACCCTCTGCATCGGGTTGCAGCGGGTTGCAGCGATGACAAAGGCACGGTAGACGTCAAATTAAATGTAGCTATTGCAGCGGGCTCAGTTACCAGCCTCGAGTTTTCCCCGTCGTTTTTCTGCGAGTCCCTTGGTCTCTCTGAAGACACGGGGACGTACCGAGCACAGGGTGGCCGAGGGCGTCCCTCCTGCATTCTCTGACCGGGCGGGCGGCAGCGCGGTGACACGCCTGGGCGGCGGCGCGGCGGCAGAGTACCGATTACTGTGGGCGGGTGCCGGACCCGCCTGCCCGCCCGTCCGCCCGTCCGCCCGCCTGCCCCTGCCGGTCGGTCGGGCGGGCGGGCGGACTCCGCAGTCCGCTGCAGCTGCAGACCGCGGTGCCAGGCGGCGTGCGGCGGCGGCGGCGCGCGGGCGGATTGCGTGTGCGCGTGAGCTGGCGTCATCGGCGTTGCGTGCTGCGACCTCGCACATCTGTGACGCGCGGCGCGGCCGCAACGGAAGCGGTTGGGCAACCTCCGCCGCGCGGCGCGAGCGGGCCGTGCGTGCGGCAGATCGGCCGCGCACGCCGGTCTACATTTCAGCAAATAAGCCTACACGCTGTCAGAGCACGCTACAATGCACCGATGTGGTATTCTGAAGGTGGGCAGATTGTGAATGGAGATAAGTGGAAAGGTCCGAAGGGTCAAGGGTGATGACAATGGTGGCATGTCTGTCAATGTCTCCCGTCGTGTATTGATCATATTTGTTTGTTGTGTGAGGCTGATCCACCTCGTCAGTTGTCAGTGAATGTTGTATTTGGGTACGATTAGATATGTAACCATTCATACTTCAGATAGACTATACGCTACCTCATCGAGCCCGATGTACTTTTTTTGTCTCAGATGGATGATGCTAACTCTCGTTTTCTTGTTGCAGGTCTGCAACTGTACCTGCCACTTAGCACAAGATACTACCAACAAAAGTTCAAAAATCTGCGTGTTCTAGGCCAGGTGAGACTCATCCGAGCTAGTTTTTGGCCCGTGGGTCAGGATCCTGGACCCGGGTCTGTCCTGGGATCCGGTCGGTGCCCCGCTGAGCCGCTGCGCCGCTGGCATAGCGCCGCGTCACGATCGGGCCAAAATCGGCGTCGTCATATTTTGGGCGCAGCTCGGGCGGTTTTTGCGCCGCCGCCGGCGGTGATTTCTTTGTCGGTGGGCGCCGGCCGGAGCGGTGCCGGCTGCGTCAGTCGCGACGCGCAAAAACGCAACAAAAACCGGCGCTCCGTGGCAAAAACGGTGCACCGACGCCGCGCCGCGTGCGCGTCGACCCATGTCAGCGCAAACACGGCTCCGAGCCGCACCGTCTGCCGCCGGCTCCGAGGCCGCGCGGAGACAACACCGTCATGCTCGCTAACAGGGCCGCCTCCCTTGAATTCGGCGCCTCGGATATAGACAGGATGTTTTATCTGTTGCCAACCGTCAGACGACGGTCAGCAACTTCAGCGGATCGGATTGGTTCTGCTTTATTTAAATCTTAACAACAGCGTCTATTTAGATATGCGTCCAAAAGATTACCTAGTTACCTCGGTGATGTTCTGTTTTCGTCAAGTGGACTACCTCTAAACTCCCAACATCCAGCGATCCAATGGCAGCGGTAGGGGCAGGAGAGGAGAGGCGTGCTGACTGATGCCGTTAGCCGGCGTCCCCCTGTGTCAGCGCGGTGCCCCCGTACCTCAGTGGCGGTGGGAGGGGCGGACAGGGAACTGACGGAGCGCCCCTCCCGACGGACCGACACCTCTCGTCTCCTGTTCACCGGCGACAGGTTCCTCTCGGGGGACACTCAGCGGAAAGGGGCCGCCTGGGACCGTAGGTGGGGCGGGCAGCGGTAAATCATCGCTCTAGCTCAGGAGGACAGGACTGTGGTTGTGTCGAGAGACGCTCCACGGCTGGGTAACTGTCAGGAGCGCCGAACTGCCGCGGGGCGAGGGCTGCCCGGCGTCCGGTGGAAGGTAGACGCCCGGAGAGAAAGTCTGATGGAGAGACGGAGAAACTGGAGATGGATATCTGGTGTGGGTGGATAGGGGAGTGTCCGGTAGGGATGGGGATAAAGCTGCATACCTATATGACGCCCGTTTGAAAGACGGCTTCACGACGACCGAGCGACGAGCGCAAACTGTGCATCAGTTTTTGTTTTCTGGCGTTTATAGTCTCCCCATGTAATGCTATGAGTATACTTGGGCATATGTGTGGACTGGACAGATCCGGGATCAACAAATGGGTCCATGGGTCCGGGTGACATCATCAGGCTCGAGACGGTGGCGAGGACTTCGAGAGAGCTTGGTAGGCACGATAAGCGAAACATGTCGAGACGGAACGCATCCGCCCCACGCTGCCTGGTAGACGTACGAAATGAGTGCAGCTGCACCTCACAGAATACCTACCTGATGAGCACTGACGGATGTTCAATAGAGAGTGACCGACCTACCTGTTAGATTGGAGAGAGTATCTGGCAGAGAGCGCTGTAGAGAGTAACCGCGCCCTGGTGGTAGAGAGTAGCGGCGCCCGGTTAGAGAGTAGCGGCGCGCGGTTAGAGAGTAGCTCTTGTTAGAGAGCGGCACTCAGTGGCGGGGTCAGCGGGCAGCCTGGCGGCCGGCCTAGCCAGCTCCGTGGCGAGTGCTGGCGATCCCCACGGTCGCCTCATCCTGCCCTGGCCGGTGTGTCGTCAGCTGACCCGTGAGCCGCCCTGAGAGGGCTCTGAGGTGGTTGTGAGTTAAGATCCGTGAGTTGCCCTGAGTCGACCGTTAGCTCTCCGTGAACTATCCGTGAGCAGACCCCGAGTCGCCCTGTAGTTAGCCGCGAGTCGCTCCTGAGCCTCCCGTGAGCCGTGGGTGAGCCTCGCCCTGAGACGTCGCTGAGTCAGATCCGTGAGTCGGCGGTCGGCCGCGCGCCGCTGATCTGCGCCGGCTAACGGTCCGGCCGGCCCGTCGGCGGCGGCGCGGCCGTCCTGCCGCCGTCAGTGTGTCAGCCACTCGCCCGGTGAAAGGCCGCCGAGCTCGGGCCGCGCCGTGTGGCACAGACGGGCGACACGACCGCGGACCAACACACTGCCGTGTCAGTGCTGCGACGGCGCGGTGCACTGCGACTCGCTCTTAGCCGCCCTGCGTGAGTGACGGCCAGTGTTGCGACAGCATCGTGCATTAGTGATTGGGGGCAGTCAGTGAAGCCGGTCAGTGTGTCGGTATTCTGCCCCGCCGCGCCGTCAGTGTCCCTGCCGCGCCGTGTGTGTGTGACGTGCGCCGTGTTCGCCGCAGATGCGTCAATGGGACGCCACGGAGCCGTGGCCAGCACGCTGCCGCCAGCCGCCGTTCAGTCGCCGCCAGCCATGCCGCCGATGCCGCACATGCCGCCCAAGAAGCGGTACCTCATGGAGAACCCTCCGCGCAACGGCGGACTCCTCCAGCTAGCTGAGGTGAGTGAGGGTGCTCTGTAACCTGGGGTTAGACGGAGAGGGCCTGCGTGGTCTGTGGGGAGATGGGCTATGTGTGGCGTGGACTGTGGAGCTTGCGAGAGTGAGGGATTGGAGAGACAGGCTGTATTCGGCCAAGAACATATGGTGGATGTATTGTGTCGTATGTCAGAGATGGTGTTTTCGGTCCATATGGATATTTTGACCTCCAGAGACGGCCCGAAGTCCACTGATTCCCACTGCAGTCCATGTAGTTCCTCGGGTGGCGCCGTCTAGGCTTCGTTGCATCATGCACCGTCACATCCTCAGTCCACCCACATGGCCTGGGCTCCAATTCGGAGCTTGTGTCCGGGCCCGACGGCTGGCCTGTTTTCCTCATTTGACCGGATCCGTGTCGAGGGGCCCGTGAAAGTCAGCCCGCGCGCGCCGCCGCCGCCACGCGGACCGTTTGGGGTCGAGTTTCGACGCGCAGGTCAGTGACCTAGATATGCGCCGGCTGCCGGCCAGGCGGCGGGCGATCGGCAGCGGGCGGGCCGCGCCTCTGACGGCTGTTTGGCTCGCGCTGGGCGGGCCCCGCTGACCGAGTGCCGGCCCGTGGGGACCCGGCTGACCCCTCTGACCCAGCTGACCCATCCCGGCGCGGGGCGCGCCTCTCTCTCCTGTGTCCGAGCCGCGCGCGCGCCGGTGGAAAGCGGTCCGTTCCGCTCGGTCCGCGCCTCCAGTCGCTGCGGTGAAAGTTGGTACGCAGCGGCCCGCCTCCGCGGCTCCTGCGGTGGCCCCTCGCCGACCAACGGACGGACGGCTGGACCGCGCTGGCTTCTCTCTGTCCTCCCTTTCCGCTCCGACGACCTTGTAAGCCGGACCGCCGGATGTCAGCTACCGCTGCCCAGTGTGGTCTTGACACCACAGTCGTTTTCGGTGAACCTCCTTGTGTACTGTACTGCTACGGTCCTTTGTGGCTCCAGCAATGTTCAACCTTTCTTTTGATCCTACCTAGGTATCCTTCACTGATGTACGGTTTTTCGTCCACCATTCTTTTTCTATCATCATCATCATCATCATCATCTCCGTCTTTTTTCCTCATTTGTCTCCTCCCTCACCTCCCCCTCTGTTACCTGTCTGTCGGTGCTCTGTCCTCCCCTATCCCAACAGCGGGGGGTGGAGATCCCAGGCCCGCCAGCTGCCGTTCGTCTGGGTTCGGCGGCAGACAGACGGGGGCTTTGTAGTGCCCGTAGCCTCGGGCCGTGACCTCTGCAGCGCACCTGCCGGCTCGGGGCGGTGGGTGGTCCGGTGGGGTAGCACCCGGTGCTGGTTCCGACCCTCAAGGCCATGACGTGGCAGGAGAGTTCACACTCAGTTGTTAGTTCTGACGCACTAAGTGCGACCCCTTGTCTGTTGCTTGATGAGAACCCCGACGAAAGCTTTGGGGGGGGGGGGGGAGCGGTGCGAAACAGTACTGCTTTGCGGATGTGACACCTGTTTCTTGGTCAGCCGTCGGCTGGAGTCTTTCACCCGTCACTGCCGATTTTCTATTTTCGGCCCAGTTCATCGGTTGCCCGGGATCGTATCACTGATTTCAAGTCTTGCGGTGGCTCCTAGGGATGCACTAAGATCATATTTCCACATTTTATCCGCTGCTCCCCATCTCTCATCTCTCTTTCGCCCACCCCTCACGGCTTCCTCAGTGGCCATCCTCGCTCGCCCAGCCGCTCAGTGCTCGCCATGCTGCCGAGCCGACAGCCGTCGCTTTCTGTGGCATCCTCGCCGCCCGCTCGGCCAGCCAGTTACTGTATGCACGCCAAGCCGAGCCGCAAAGCCGCGCCGTCGCACCGACCGCAGCTCGCCGCCGGCCGGCGCTCCATGCATGGACCGGTCGTCACGTGTTTCCTGCATACACAATGGCGGCGCCGAGCGAGGACCGTGGCCGGGCTCGCAGCCGTGTCACGAACTGGTCACGGACGCCGGCCGCCGCGCCGGTCGCCTGGCGCGGCTGGAGACGGCGACAGACGGATAGGGGTGGGGGAGAGGGGGAGTGTGCTTGTGGTTAGAGGGATGAGGCGAGGACGTTTGATTACATTCATTGCAAAATTAATTGCGAATAGAAGTAACACGAACTCCGGACTGAGCAGACAAAGCTCAAAACATTCTGCTAGACTAGACGTCGTGAACACCCAATAGTCGCAGTGGTTGAGACGTCATTGTAGCCTGGATCACAGCAGTCACGCGCCAATGGCATCCCACGGCGCACCGGCCTACTGCACTACCGCACTGCATCGAAAGCTTCCAGGAACTTCATTTACTGGAATCACTCTGCGGAGTCGGTTCATACTCTCGGTGAAAAGGCCACTTTTCTCCGACGGGATGTGCGCCTTTTCTGGATGCAGTCCGGGTTCCTCTGACGCTGAATGCTGGCTCTTTTCCTGTTTTCGGACGTGAGCCCACAAGTTTCTTGGATCTGATGGTCGAAAGGCTTCCCTCCGCCGACTGAATGCGAGCACTCGGCGTGACGCAGTCTGCGGTTTTCCTCCCTTCCAAGCAGCAATTACACATCTGCTCGTACTGGCTGTCTGTCGGTAAATGGGTGCTTCACTGATTGGTGCATCCGTAATTGTCGGTCTTGGTAGGGCTGACAGGTGATGTAGTGTTTTGTTTCGTTACCCTCGTTGACTTGATTTACTGTGTTGTCCTGATCTCCTGTTCCTGCCCAATGACATCAATAATGCTCGTACTTTGCTGTTTGAGAACGTTTGTCGTGTCTATCTGCCTGTGCTTTCTCTAACCGACTACCGTTCTGCGGCAGGTGCCGTCGCTGCCGCGCCGCCAGCCACCTGGTGGTGACATCACAAACTACCCGCACCAGCTGAACGGCTATGCGCCGCCGCCGAACGGCCTGAACGGCCTGAATGGTCTGAACGGGACGCGGCACCGGGTCGAGTACGACCCCTCCGAGCCGCTGAACCTCACCACCGCCTCCAACCACGAGGTGCAGCTGTCGCGTATCGTCGACAAGGTGGTGGAGAAGATGCTGAAGACTAGCGGCATGGACGATGACCGCCAGGGCGACCCGCTGCGGCTGTGGTTCACTAACCAGTTTGAGACCAAACAGCGCAACGAGTGTTCGTCGACAGGCGGCTCGCCGAGTCCGCGACACAAGTCGGCCAGTCCGCAGCTGCCCAGTCCGGCGGCGGCCGGCAGTCCGGGCCGGCCCAGTCCGGGACTGGTACCCCCGGGCACAGACACGGCGCCCGAGCCGGGGCCCGAGCAGCGGCCCGAGCGGGGCCCCGAGCCGGCCGACGGCGGCGACACTGAGCCCGACACTGGCGTCATGGAGCTCACCATCGGCATGTCCGACACCATCAACCGGGTCATAGATAACGTGTACGGCCGCGACCGGCGCTCGGCAGAGGTCTCCAGCTGTAGCAGCGACTGCGTCGGCTCCACCACGCCGCCCGAGCCGCCGCCGCCGCCGCCGCCGCCGCCCCCGCCCGCAAAACGGCGCTCCCCGCCGGCCGGCGGCGCGCGGGAGCGGCCGCGCGTGAAGCGAGCCTCGCCCGGCGCCGGGGCGGGCGGCACACCGGCCAAGAGGAACCGGGCGGCGGCCACCGTCACTGCCACATCCATTGCCGCCGCGGCTGCCGCTGCTGCTGCTGCTGCTGCCGCCGCCGCCGCGACCTCCGTCTCTCCCGTGGAGAGCCCCGCAGCCAGCGACCGGTGAGTGTTGGTGGGGAGCAGGGACGGGATGGGGGTCGGGTTCAGTGGAGTATCTTATGGGAACTATATAAAGGCGAGTGGGACCGACCTGCCAGGTGATCAAAGCTTTTCCCGGCACGTTCAAACTAACTAGTGTTCGGACGAAGAGGAGTGGATGCTAGCTAGATTAGTTATTTTTCATGTCTGGGTGGGGTTTGAATAACCGATAACAGCTGTTTATTCGAGAGAAGTTTCCGTCGCTAGAGAAGCGCCACAGAATGACTTCAATGGACCAAAACCAAGTCCACCAATGACGCTTCCTATGCTGCAATAGCCGTTTTCACGACGGCCATCTGGTACACATTTGGTGCACATCTGGTACAGATTAGGTGCAGATCTGGTCAAATCAGGTTCAGTGTGTCTCTTAGCAGCTATCAGCTAGGGTTGCACTAATTGCTTATATGCCTGCTTTGTCATATTATCAGAGAGCATCATCGATTAAAACACTGAAATAATTTCATAAAATGAAGATATTTGCTGTAAAAGAAATTAGGTGCAGATTTGGTCAAATCAGGTGCATTCGCCGGATAGTCCGTCGTGAAAACGGCTAATATCAACTCGAACGCGTTCGGCGTTATTTTGAACGGTTGTATGGCAAACCGTCCACCCTCCGTCCATTCACGACTGTGGCCGGTGTGACCGCCGGTCGGCTAGTCGATCGATAGCCACACCAGCTGGTTACGGACCGACGACCGACGGGGGAGCGACCGACGGGGACCGGTCGACGCCCAGGGCCCTCTGTTTACACGGGACGGCCCGCGCAGCCGGCGCCGGGCGCAGGCACCGCCACCTGTGCTCGAGTGGCCGACCGTGACCTTCTGATGGGTGTGTGGGAGGGGCGATCGCACCTGGAGGGGGAGGGGGCACCTGCGTGGATGTGTAGAGTGGTGAAACAGTGCGGGACAACTGCGGATAGTCGGCGTACGGGAGTGACGATGTGTGATACAGAGTGCACCGGTGAAAGGGTAAGGGGTGGCAAATAGTTCAGTTGAACTCTCAACAATAATTCAGATCAAGGGATGTCTCTAGCTCGTCCAATGGGATACAATATTGCCGCTGTTACGGACTCTTCTGAAAAGAACACTGTTTTGTTGACTGGACCAACCCACGGTCTGGCTGACAGCTCTGGTTCGCTGTACTCGTATGTGCTCCAGTGGGCTCTGTCACCTCCAAGCGGCTACTGCGAGTCCTTTGGCAAAGGGTGACGTGTGTGCCTCGCGACTCTGTACAATCGACCATCGATTACCGTCTACCACCTGCACCGTCCAGGCTCGCGTGTTGACCGCGGTAACCGCCTCATCCGGCACGGGACGGCACGGGACCCGTCCACGTGTTAATGTGTTACACAGAAGGAGCCATTGGGCGCACAGGATGTCCAGATGTGCCACTTAGAGCCCAGAACTCCCGGGAAGTTCTCTCTCTGTGGACTGCTGTGCCGGAACTGAGTCAGGTAACGCCGGCGTAGCGCGGTGAGTGACCGAAGAACTGGGCTGCCCGGCCAGGAAATGATGCTGGTGCGGCCGCTGTGCTGGCTGAAAGCTCCAGTAATGTTTGTTTCCAGTGTAGGCAAACTCATGGAGATTGTGGAAGACGTTGGATGGGACGTGAAAATACCCTCTTGCGGTCATCAATCTTGTTAGCTCGGTGCCAATGAACGGCGTGGCTGATGTTTATGTATCGCAGAGGCCAACCTCATTGTCATTTTCATGTGCTGCTTGCATAGTGTTTGTCAAAACACGACTGCGGCTGAACCGAGGTTGAGGACGGTGTGGCAACACACGGACATTGGCGGCTACTGTGCTGATATCAGCAGTGTCACATACCTGGACCGACTACTCGGGTTTTGAGGTCAGAGGCCATCCGAGGTGGTTGCCCTCTGTGATATTGTGTGCCTCTTCTACGTCTCTGAGAGGCGACGGCTGTCAGAGGCCCCTGAAGGTAACCTTGTCAACACCGGACTTAGCATGGCTGTTGACAAACAACAATTCCTATCTGTTCGTTAGGGTTCGTCTGAAGAGCGACAGCATTAGAGGTGCCAGCCGGATATGGAAATTTGGAATTACAGATTCCGACATTTGAAAATTCAAGTTGAGGGATGGCTAATACTGAAGCGATTTGGAGAACATCTTTATTGACCATTGATCGTCAACATTCAATGCATGAGACAAGAGTGTCAAGGAACTGCTTGAATGCTGATGTCTATAGAAGCTCAATCAGAATCAGTGAGTGTGGTGGCAGGCAGCTGGAGGCCAGCGCTGCTTAAAATTCCGTCTGCCTGACGTCAGTCGCTGCAGCGTTCTGCATTCGACAGCATATCAATATCCTCTGAAGCTGTTCGGGTGAGCACACAGTGGCGGGGAACCCCGGGACCCCACGAAGTGACCCGAGCGCGCCACTGGGATATCGACCTCTCCTCCGACTAGCTGCGGGAGTGGAGCGGATCAGCCACCCTCAGCCCCTCTCCCCAGGCTCCACGAACTGTCCAGAGGCGACCCTGTTGCCAAGCGACGGACGGGGGCTGAATGCCCCCCCCCCCCCCCGATCGCCGTGTGGCTGTGCTCGGCTGCGAGTTTCGGTGACACACTGACCTTTACCGACCGGTCGCTCGGATCGACCGACTGGCCGATCTCTGCTGCTGCCGCTGTCGTTGGCGTTGCTGTTGATGCTGCTGTTGTATGCTGTCATCTCTGACGCGGCTGTGCGCTACAGTGATCCCGTTCTCCGCACTGTCAGTCCCAGGCTCAGCCCGGCCGTCGGCTATCCCTGTGAGCGGCTCGGTGGCACATCTCCTCCGGTCTCCGCCGCGATCCTTGGTGATGATCCGACCCGCCCTGGCGGTCTGTCGGCCACCATTGGGCGTAACCGGAGCGGACAGCGGCCATCACCGCTCTGGTGCCGCCGCTGGCAGGCCATTGGTGCTGCGGGCACGGGGCGGGTCGGGCCGAGACAGGCACCGCCCACACACGGGCTGGGTGGAAGATGGGGGTGAGGCGGAGGATAGAACGGAGGACGGTGGGCGGGACGGGGGAGGATGGTGGGAGGGATGAGAAAGAGGACGGTCTTGATTGATCGGGGGCTGGTCTTGAGGATGGATGAGAGAAGCTGGAACTAGGTGGCGCATCTAAGGGACAACTCAACTGGACAGTGGACACATTGCCGAAGACTAGAGATTGTGATTGTGGACCATTGAGAGTGAGTCCACTAAATCGGCAATACAGCTGTTTGGCATGGGTGCCACTTATCAGCCTCGCTCCTGCTCGACCGGCGCTCGGTGCCTGAAGCGCTGCACCAGTGACTGTGTCACCGCTCGGTGACACGTCCCGGTGTCACCTGACACCGGCTCTGTGCCCGGTGACACGCTGAGGGCAGTGCTGACGCACGGACCGCGCGCCGGCGGCCCTATTTCGCTGTCTAATCGAGAAGTGCCGGACGGAGTTCGGGGAAACCGGAGCACCTCCGCTCCAGGAGTGCTGACGTAGGCGGGGGCTGGGCACAAAACTGTGGACCCGCTGACGAGGGAGTCCTCAGTCAGATCCAAGGCCCTAAAACATAGTCAGGTCCACTGGAAAACGACTGGTAGGAGCGTCACGTGAACAGATACACACAAATTAAAACCCATATAATTGATCTTTCCCCGTGAGGCTATGACGGTTGCGACGGTGTTTATTAAGTTCATCAAAATGTCCCGTAGAGTAAATGAGGTCATGTTTTGAGTGACGTTGGAAGTTGGAACTGACCTTTCACCAGGTTCAGCTGAGAAGTTTGACAGCGGCCGAGCTGCTGTCCTCGTTTGGGCGCTGTGTGACTCAGCTCTGTCCGGCTTCGTCTGACCTGGTGACCGGTGTCATCCCATCCGTGACAGCGTGACCTATGTGATCCCATCCGTGTCATCATGACCTTTGTGACCCCGACGGCCGCTGTTCCACACACTGACTGTCGGTGGCCACCTGTCCCAGCTCCCCTCTGTGTGAACAGGACACTGACGGATGTTCTATCTACCATAGACTGTCTGTGGCAGGCCTGTTCCCTCTCCAAACCCTGTGAACTCGTCCTCGTCCTCTGACCGACTGAGGCACTGACGGCTGTTCTCTACCTCCACAGATTGTCGGCGGTGGCCAGCGATGACGAGGACGGCGGAGGGCACGGCCTGGTCATCGACGAGACGCCCAGTGTCGGCGCCGGCGACGACCTCTCACCGTGAGTTTGGTCATCTACTCTGCTCCCTACTTTCTCCCTCTCCTCTCCTCTCCTCTCGAGATAGGATTTTCCTCCCTCTAGTATCATCCCTCAGTCCTCTGTATGTTTCACTTTGAGTTCGATTCTGTTTCATTGTGACCATTATGTATTTCATGTGCGGCTCTGCAATATCAGCGAAGTTTCCGTCTTTTCGTGTACCTTCCTCTAATCCTAAGGGCCGATTTCCCAGCTCTGAGGGGTATTGGACGGCGTCGATCGCCCTTTAGTACGATAGGTCCGAAGTGGCACACCCCACGTACCCCACTACAGCTCTGCCCTGTTCCCATTATGTCAGTGGACGAGCAGCATGCGGTCAAAAGGTCACCTGTGACGCCCACTCTTGACAGCGCTACCGGTGCCGAACCCGTAATGCAGGACGCACCCTGTACGTATGTCTGTCTGGCTGTTTGTGTGTGTGTCTGTTTATCTGTCTAACTGTCTGTTTTGTATAAAACTGCGGACGGTCGTCGGTGCTGGTACTGCGTATCGGGATAACCATCCAATCACCCCCGTACACCTGTGTGGGCGTGGTACCGGGTATCGTGCTGCAGTGCACGCTAACTGACGCCACTATGGACATTGATTGCGGGCTGCCGTGCTCGTCAGACAGTTATGGCCCAGTCAGGCGTTTTTGTGTGTGACGTCATGGAACCATCATCGTGGCGGTGACGAGATTGGTTGGATGCTGGAAGCTGTGTGTTTTAACGAGCTATTATGCTGAATTCCCAGAGTGTGTGTATGATTGTGTGTTGTTTGTCAGTGATCCAATGGCGTGCCAATAGTCTATTAATGTGTGGCAATGATCCAGTGATGTGTGTGAGGTCTGGTGACCACATTTAGAATTTAGATCGTCATTCATCTTATCTCGTCAGCTGACGATATCGTGTATATTTTTCTCGGCAGGGACAGTCGTACCGAGCGGTCGCCGCCTGCCGTCGAGCCCGGGTCGCCGCGGCGGCGCAGTAGAAAACGCAACCCTCCCGCCGATGTTCGGATAGGTGAGCAGCGGGGCGGACGACCCAGGGAACGTGACGTCACATTTCGTCACGGTGCTGCACCTCATCCGGGCGGCGCCGAATTGTTTGTTACGTTGGGTGAAACTGCTTCCTGTAATATCCCGTCAATTACACATATCCCCGAACCCATTACCCGTGAGAATCATTACGTCGGGTCATTAGTAAGATCTCCTTGAGCTAACAGCTGACAGTCTCAGCGATATCAGACGTCCGCTCTCACATTGAACCACTCTCACACGCGCACATACACAAACACGCCCATGTGGGAATAGGCACGTGTCCTCAAAGCCACCGGCGGCGGCGAATCTGTGTCACGAGTGGCACAGATAGTGTCCGGCCGAGCTGAATCTGGGTCAGGACGGCATCGGAGGCGGTCCGCCGGCTGGCTATCAGTGGCGACCATTCATGGTACGGCTGCCGCAGATAGCAGCCTCTTCAGATCAGCTGGTGGAGCAGCCCGCGCCGATCAGTGGGTGGGAGAGGGCGGGTCGATCAGCCAAGGATGGGTTAGAGAGAGTTTCGGGGAGCGGTCTGACCCATATACTGGCCCGAGGCGTGCCGAAGGGTCGCGACTGGCCGGTCGCGCCCGCTGGTGTGGTTGGGGCCGGGCGTGCGCGGTGGATTGGGGGGGGGGGCGTACGTGACGTCATTAATCTGCTGGGAGGCGAGTGGGCGGGTTTGAAAGGGCGCAGCGTCTCGGATAAAGTGGGCGCGCTATGGGATAGTAATCTCCAGCTGCGTGAGCAGGCGGCGCTGAAATGGGGTCACGGCCACTGGAGTCGGCAGTTAGGTCACGGGGTCAGATGGGCCGCAGTCGATCAGCCCATAATTCACAGAATTCCAAGAATCGGTGTGGTGTGGTGGGAGGTATAACTTTAACGTTTCTGAAAAAGGATCGGATGCTGCACACGTTTTGAGGCAGCAGCTCATTAGTTCCTCAGGAATGGTCGGCGTAACCATTTATGCTGTTTATCGTCCTGTGTTACTCCATGGCTCAATACTGGGTACAGCGTGCTCACAGTTCCCCTTTAATACCCTCCCCGTTTGAGTCGCGGTGGAAAAACCGGCTTTTGGCTAGGCCTCGGCAACCCACCTGGCCATGACGGAGACGCGTACATGTACAGTCCAGTCGCTAGAACGGTGCGATTGGATGGCTGGATCCCTCTTTGCACGTGTGGCGCAGTACGGGCTGGGACGGGAACGGGACGGAGCGTACCGCCGTCTGTGGTCGGGTGCTTCCCACCGGCCGGAGGGCTGACCGAACGGCAGCAGTTGTGGCTGTTTTCGGAACTGAACGTTATCGCCGCTCCTGGCGTGCGCTAACACTCAGCAACACTCGGCAAGCCCCCGGGGCTGGGATTCCGAGCAAACAATGCACAAATGCTTACATGGGAGCCACTTCGGATGTTGTATTTGATGTTTTCACATGACAGGTCTATGTGTGCTGTTCATTGTCCCCATCGTTTTGAGGGTGGGTGTGCCGATTGGTACTGTGATGGGGATGCAACAGACCGGTTTCGTACCGTATCCAGGGAGTCAAATGCTGTTGGGAACGGCTGCCGCCAGACATTCGTGGTATCCCGATTTTGCGAAGTGATTTCGTCTCGCTTGGTTACCTTGCGGACACCCAGAGCGTTATCGTTGCTTGCCGCCCGCTGTTGCAGTGTCATGTCTCCTTATGTGTGGTCTTATAGGATATGCTCCCCACGTACGGTCCCCGGTCCCCAGATGTGCTCTGTTGTCCTTCATTGTTCCACGCTGCTGATAAATGTGCTGTCATATCCGTTACTCATCACTCACCACCCTTCTCTTTCTTTCTCAGGAGACTCAAAGCTAGCCGATTCTGCAGCTGCGCCCAATAAGGGCAGCCGCAAACGCAAAGTAGGAAAAGAAGACATCGTTCGCATCCAAAAGGACGGAGACAGCGGTAAGTATGACGTCAGCACGCTACGTCATCGATGACGTCAGCCGGCGTCTGTCGTCGGTGGCTTGTCAGCGTGTTTTAGAAACTGCGCCACTTTAACAGATGGTCGTTACGCTTTCGAAGGCTGAAAGTGTGTGTGAGTTGCAAATGCAGAGCGTGATTACGCTACACTGATAGGCGACTGGCGAGCGTGTGCACACTACACAGCCCTGTGCTATGGTAGCACTGATCTTCGTTACGTTTCGGTCACAGGACACGACAGTCGGCACGTTTGTGGGCCGCAGAGCGGCGTGTGCCTAATTTAACATATGGGTGGATGGTTACATCTGTCTAAGAGGTCTGAAATCAGTGATAGGATGCCTCAATTGGTTGGCGTATTGGCGTGATTGAATGTCGTAGGGGTTCGACGTGCTCTGTGGTTTGCGACGACCACGCGGAATTCGCTACCATGTCGAAGTGGGAGGGTTTCAGATATTGACGTTGTGTGTTTTTTGTCTCCCACAGGTCTGGATAGCCCGTGCCCTCCCTTGCCCGCCAAGGACAGGTCCAAATCTCAGCCAAACTGAGCTCGCATCTACGTGCTCGCCCACAAAATACGGGACACCGGCGTCTTCAAAGGCCACTGCCGTTCGCGTATACCGCTCTCTTCTCTCCGTCTCGCCGCGCCCAGAGCTACCTGTCGGCCGCGGTGGCAACCCAAACTTCACTTGTACAAATAGAGGTGGCATGCGTGCGCGTCGCGGCGGCCCTGTGATGATAGTCGGTCTCGCCGGCTCGGCTCGCGCGCCGCCGCCGGTCGCACGGAGCCACAGACGCAATACAAACGGAATGCCGGTAGCCGGCTAAACAGCGTGTGCTGGTGTGCTAGGTAAGTGTGAAGCCCGTGTGCCCATTGCGAGTGTGAGTGTGCGCGTGTGTGTCCCACACGAGCGCGCCAGAACGATTTGTTATTTATTGTAAGGGTGGCAATTATGTTGTTGATTATCCATTGAGCTTGATATCCAGAGGGTGGGTGCCTTTTCTATTAATATTGGTGTACACCGTTATGCAATCTCATGTGTTCCGACTTGTTACGAGTGTTCGGTGGGCGGGGCGGAGGGGCACGCGCGGCTCGCCGGTCGCCGCCCCCTCCGACCGCAGTCCCCGACGGCCGCGACCCGACGAGACGAACCGTTACCGAGGCCCGAGATTACCAGGGCGGGCCGCCCGGGCGCGCACACGCCGACACGTTAATGTGATGTCTTTTTTTACCGTCTCTCGACAAAGGCCTCGTTCGGTCTGCGTAGTTCGGGCCGTCTGCTTTAAAATTGTATGGATGTGACTCGAATAAATTATAGCTGAAGGTGACGCCGCCTTTCGACCTGTGGACGTTGGGAAAAGGGGCGATGATGTCGACAGTTCGGAGGGTATGAACGACTCAGCCACTGCGTCGGTTGTTTTAGCCACCGGCCACGCGACCACTGCTGTCCCGACTCGACTCTCGCCCGGAAACACCAAACCACATCAACATACAATTACAAAGCCCGGTGCCCAGCGCAGCCCATACCGAGTCCTTAGTCAGCTGATCGCCCATTCACCTGTGCGTGCGTCACGTGTACATACACCTGAGTCAGTCACGCGTGTATTGCACCGGTACGGCAGCGGATCGGATACAAACACTTCGTTTCCACAAATATTCGTAAATGGTACGTCAATTGTGATGAAGATTTGGGGGTTTAGGGCGCCCGAACTGCGGTAGTCATCGGCACCCATGGGTTCGTCAATGATCATGAGCTTGCAACACACAAATAACGTATAGCGAGTACTACATATTTATCATACCCTGACACATCTTACTTCACACCAAACACAGGGCTTCACACGCACTGAGCACTAAAAATTCTACATCAGACGAGCGAAATTGGGGGTTACTTAGCCCCGCAACTTGCATATCACAATTGGTGCCTGACTTTCGTTCCTCTGACCAGCAAATGAGAGTAGATTGGAGCAGTCAATGCGCTGTACGTCCGTCAACAATGTCCAGTTGCCAATCGCAAATGACTCCCCAAAGTCGGCAGCAGGACGCACTTCGACGTACCTTAAGTCGGGAGCAGCCCACAGCGCTGTTTGGTGCGGAACCCGTCTAGATCATCGGGCTACTGACAGCCGTAAAGCGACACTCACATATGTCCCCCGCATGATCTTCACTACACACACCTGGCGAGCGCCACCTCCGCCTGTACCAACCTTCATACTCTCCATCTGTGTCTGTCGTCGGTCAGCTAGCGTCTGCAGGCGCCTCCAGTTCGTCAAGCAGCCTCTGACGGCGCGCCTCGTCCTCCAGCCGGTCGTGGATCTCGTCTAGCCGCTCTCCAGCGAGCACCAGCGGCAGGCCGTGCAGGCTCAGACCCAGCCGGTGGTCGGTGACACGGTCCTGAGGGAAGTTGTACGTGCGGATCTTCTCCGAGCGACTGCTGCTGCCCACCTGAGACGGAAGGGAGGGCCGAGGGGTGTTATGGGGAACGGAGGGCGGGCTGCGGCTGTGAAACGAAACTCTGATGTCAACAGCATGTACACAACTACCCTGGCCTTCGATAGACATCCAGACTGATCGAGTGTTACAGAGAATCAAAATATCACACCAGAGTTGACCATAACCTTACACTCCCACGCCAGCTGTTGCCGAAGTAACCCCCCCCCCCCCCGGCCCCCCATCCTCCGTGTATCCAGCACGACGAACAGCGCCCCCGCTCACCTGTTGTTTTCTGGCGGCCGCCCGCTCCGCCTCAGCCTTGTCCAGCTGCCGCTGATAGAGGCGCGCGCGCAGCAGCTCCAGCGCCCGCTCCTTATTGCGGTGCTGGCTGCGCATCTCCTGACACTCGACGGCCAGCCCGGTGGGCAGGTGGACCACGCGCACTGCGCTGTCGGTCGTGTTCACGTGCTGGCCGCCGGCACCGCTCGCCTTTTTGGTTTCGATCTTGAGATCGCCGGCCGGCAGGTGCACGTCGACGGCCTCCGGCAGCGGCAGCACGGCCACGGCCACAGTACTCGTGTGCAGTCGGCCGCCCTTCTCCGTGCGCGGCACGCGCTGCACCCGGTGCACGCCGCCCTCGTACTTAAGCCGCGAGTACACGCCCTCACCGTGCACAGTGGCGGCCGCGTACCGCACGCCGCCCAGTCCCGTGGTCTCGTGCTGGGCCACCTCCATGCGCCAGCCGCGCCGCTGCGCCCAGCACTCGTACATGTCGAGCAGCTCGGCGGCGAACAGCATCGCCTCCTGGCCACCCACGCCGGCGGTCACCTCCAGTAGCGCCGAGCACGCGTCGGCGGCCGCCGCGCCCGCCAGCCGGCTCTCCAGCTCAGTCAGCGCGCTCTCGGCGTCGGCCTCCAGCCGGGCGGCGTCCAGCTCGGCCAGCTCGCGCAGCTCGGGGTCGGCGCACAGCTCCTGCAGCTGGCGGCGCTCCTCGGCCAGCCGATCGAGCAGGTCCAGCAGCTGCACGGTGCCGGCCAGCTGGCCGCGGCGCCGGCCGACCGCGCCGCCGCCGCGACCCGCCACCAGCTCCGCCTCCAGGTGGCGCAGCTCGGCGCGCGCCCGCGCCGCGTACGCCGCCAGCCGCGGGTCACCGGGCGACAGGTGAAGGTGGCGCCACTGCGGCAGCACTGGGACCGAGGCCACTTGCTGCAGAAACACACACCATTGGGGACTGTCACCATCACTTCTCGGAGGCTCATTGTTAGAACATCGACGCAGCAGTCTGCAACATGCTAGCATTGCAATAATTAAAAAAATACTGCCATCATTTTGAACACATTAGGGAGGTGTGTTACCTGACATAGGTATATGCTGATCACAGCATGTTCTTTAACCAACAGTAAGTGTTTCTTATGATACAAAAATAAGAATATCTCAGCAGCACATTTAGAGATAAAAGAGTGATGCAATTTGAGAATCTAGCAGAACATATAGCAGATGCCCAAAGGAAAGACAACTTAATGAGAGCACACATTTTCGAGCTACAAAAACTGCCATGTTTTTGCTAACTGTTTGAGTTATGTTTGAGTTTGAGTTACTGTTGTTAAGTTAACTGAGTTAACTGTTGTAAAGTAGAATTAATTATTGAACTGTTAGACATCTTTTATGTGTCTGTTCCAAATCAGATTTGACTTTTACTTACCCATTGCCTTAACTTGTAAAATATTTGCTTCTTCTGCTTGGGTCGCTGTAAAATATTTAGCAGTCTAGAAGAAGAATGGAATGGATTTGAGATTTTCAGTGTGTCTATTGTACATTTTAGCATTGCAGGAGATAGGCAGCCAGCCTGAAAAGGAATAAAGCCAAAAATCAACAAGCTAACTCAACTTTACAAAACAGTTGGTGACATACCAGGGAAATAAGCTAAAATTAGAGCGCTCTATTTATTGCTCCTGCCCCATGTTGAAGAGATACCCCTAAAAGCGTGATCTTTTATCGGCCCTTACGCAGCAAGGCAGTACTTCTCAGGCCGGTGGATGGTATCAATAGAAAGAGAATGCGTCAAAGATTAACATGAATTAATTAAAATAACATTAAAATGTTAATTAAGCGTGGAAATTAGTCCCAAACTTAAGCTAATTATTGCTCCTACCTCGGCGACGGCGCTCCCCCCAGTCAGCGGAGAAGCTAAAATAAAAGCCACCATCCTCCTCCGTAAGTCAATTTTAGAGCGGCCGAGTGGGCCGATGCGGGGCCACCAAACTGAGGTGAGACGTGGCTAGCAATTGCGAACTGCCATAGAAATCAATATCTTAAGACGTACAATATGGGATGATTACTCTGAAGCAGGAGTGAAAGCATGAGTAGCTAGCAAGAAACGAAATGCATAGATTGGTTGAATTATGTACAATAGGCACAGCTCAGATGAAGCCATTTCTTTGATGTTGACATTTGACATAACCCTTCCTCTCCTCACCTACGACCTAAGTACGTTGGCAGTTACCGGCATAGTTTTTTTTAGCACGAGTGTAATTCGCCATCGGACCGCAATGCATGTTGCTAGGCTGCTGCAATTACAACGAACTTACGAATACTGCCTTCATTTGTAGACGTTTGTTTTTTAGGCGGTCTTTGACGTACAAGGGGGCATACCTGTCGACAACTTGAGTTTCTCCGAAGTTCAAAAACTCCCAGAATTCCAATTCCTTATGCACTGTTGTAGGTACAGCTATGTTCACAAGTTTTCGTTTCCTCCTGCTCTAAAAAGGATATTTGTCGATTTCGTGCGTCGCTGATAGAAGGGTGCGTTTAATAATTAGGCCCAACGCTTTCTGCATCCGCGACTGCGAGTACCTTGAAAAGGGAACAACAGTTTCCATTTATTACACTATGGGACAAGTGACAAAATGACCACCGCAACACGCATGAAACGGAGCTCATATTCCTAAAAATGTCTACAATCACTTCTTTTCTGACACTATTAGCAAATACCATCTCAAGTTAGGTGGTTGACAGACAGTCAATGGAGATCTGGGGAGACTGAGTGATGCCAATTCACCACTTAACTGATAACGAGGGCCGAGGGAAGAGAAACATGCAACATGCACAACTGACAACTTGACAAGTGACAAAACACTACCACTATTGCGCAGTGCACAACAAATTACAGCAGCCAGCCCAAAAATGCTTTTGGTGGCTAATTGCAAAACAAGTCACTAATAAATGTCTTAGTTGCAGCTGAACACTGCACAATGATCACACTGTTCACACATTGAGTGAGATGCCACAGGTGGTTTGAATCACACTTTGGTACAACTGCAAATCTGAAGTGTTGTCATGAGGTTCATGCCTCCATGATCACAGCACTTTGGTTGTGGTTGGCATAACACTTGTAGTCTGCAGAGTTCCACATGAACTGCAGACACCTCATCTGGTGGTCTTCATGTTGCTCAACTTCTTCAGGAGGCAAATGTCGACCACCCAGCGGAAGCATGGTCCTGCAGAAAAGAAAGGTAATGCATAAGGTACAAACATTATCTGCTGAAACAGCCCCTTCTGTTTGCTGTTATTAAACTTTTAACATAACATAACAACATGTATTCCATGTATAATACATTTGTTGAAGTAAAATACTGCCCGCTATTTCAAAACCAGAAAATGAAATTATATTGTGGCATAATTCACATGCTCAGCTATCAGTATAATTAATTTAAAATTTGGCATATTCTATATAACACATTCATAGAATGTTCTACTTCACGTCACAAGGACTCACAATCTTTCTGTTGGGTGTTTGATTGACGCATTGCCTAGGTTTGTCTTAGGTTTTATTATTGCAAAAAATTCATATTGCATTATTGTATCAAAATACTGCCAGCAATAACAAAACAAGAACATGAAATGTCAATGAGCAAGCCGCCTTTCCTAAAAATGGATTACTTTGAAAAGAATTTTAGTTTCTTTTAAGGAAAAGGAGAAATGATTATCAGGTTATTATCAAAAACCACTCAACCAGCAAGTGGCTGGGTGGTTTCACAGCAAACATCAAGCCAAAACATATGCTTACATTTATCTAACAATTGAGCCATTTGACTACACAAGGATATGTGAGCAAAATAAGAATCCAATCATCCAATGTTGACTTCCTTGCAAAGTTTATGCCTTATTTTATGAAAATGTGTCACTAGAATATGATACTTATCATCGAATATTATTTAATTTACGATTTATTTCGATCGGAACGCACATGGGGTCCCGCGCCATTTTCGTCGACGATAAATATGATCGTGTTTCATGAAGAGATAAGGGGTTTCAATGGTCTTTCAAAGCAATAATTTGATGCAAAAATTTGTAGGAAATAATATAAAGCTGGTTCAAATGGCCGTCAACCATTTAAAACGCCGAAAATACTCACAACTCCGTCCCGACGACGACGCAGCTCCGCGCACGCCACACTACTGGCACAATGCCAAAACTGCCGTCACAGCAGAAATGTTTTTTTTCTCGATTGCAATTGTGGAATTATTTATTAAACAGAAGATTATCTTTCCGAAAAACCGACTGATTTTATACACAGATGCATGGAAAATAAAAAAATCCCGGTAAGTTTATTTGTATCGTTTTGTCGATTTTGACATGCTCCTAGTTTGCAGCCATATTTCGATATGTTCTACAGGGAGTTCAGAATTATTTCAGGACCAATCTTTTCCTCATTCATTTTCCCGTCGATCATGAAATTTTTAGAGCGGAACAATTAGTTTCCAGGCGGTCCGAGCGGTTTTCGTGAGAAGGGTGCAAAAATCGGCGTCATTTTTAGAGCCTCGACACCAGCTCAACACAGGACCCTATGGGAGACGGTGAAGTAGCGGGAGCAATAAATAGAGCGCTCTAATTTTAGCTTATTTCCCTGGTGTGTCACCGACTGAAAAGACATGATTCTTGCTTCGCTGGAACGCTCTCTGGAGAATTCTAGAGCTTTCTGGAGGTTTCTGGAGGCGCTGGAACAAGCCCAACGTGATGGGCTGTGACCTTGTGTGAATTGTGGACCATGGTCAAGTCCAGATGTAAAACCACCGTCAAAGACCCTATATTATATGAAGTATCCCACCATCAATGTAAATGCATCTTCTCTATAAAACTGACTCACAAATTGCTATAAATATTAGAGGCAAGAGTGCAAAATGGTTATCATTTTGCTGTTGTCTCCCACCAAAATTAACAGTTTTGGGACACTGAAAACGGCATGACGCACAATTATTTTATTGTTATGGTAAGTCATAGCTGATAGCCAGTTATAATATTCAAATGAACATTTCATCTTTTTACAATGGTATATTGATATTACATACTTACTACGCTTACTACCAACCTTGTTTATATCAAGGCCCGATATACCGTTTATATTGGTTTATTAGGGCCTTGGTTTATATAGCCTGGCTACCAACTTACCTACTATCTTACTACCCGGCCACGGTCATAGATTTACTACCCAAGGCCATCTCATCTATTGGTACTACATATACCCTGAGGTACTACGGGCCTTGGGTACTGCCCGTACTGCCCACAGTTTTAATATGTATATTTTTAGAAAGAAAATGCTACACAAGGCTAAGGCCGTGCATCAATATACGGACGACCAAGGCCCTAAAACATACGGACGACGGTGAAAACAGGGCCAAAACAGGGCGCCTGGGGCAATTTGATCAAGGTTCGTGAAATTTACACGTGACGTTTGGCATATAGAAGGCCCTTGGAGCGGGAGAAGTTCCAAATGTCACGTGACTAATATGCCCTCCGGCCACGGACGTATAATTAAACCGGACCCGCAACCACCTCCATTCAGGTGAAGCCGACAAGGCGCCATCTTACGTTGCCAAAAAAAACCGTGCTCTGTGGCTCTGAAAGGTCATCGAACCATTACAATTGGAATTGCGTCTAAACAGATGATCGGATCGAGATGCTGGTGGTACCGTTCGATGGGTAATGCCTTGAGGCAGGTGATGATGCATGTCACAGGTCATTCGGTGTCACGTGGCGCGTGCCACGTGCCGACAAAGTCGGGAAGGGCAAAAACCTTTAAGCGACGCTCCAAATTAAACGGTGCGCGGCACAGGTGCCAAATTCACAGGTCACATGTCCCGGTGTTTGACCATTAACATATGATATCCTCTGCAGCAGGGGGTGCGGAATGCACGCGCCAGGGGCGAAAAACATGTTTTGAGGATGCATCCTCCGATTCCGGAAAACCTTGACCTAGGCACACCAAATTTGGCAAACTGACACTACTGGACACGCGCTTTAAGGTGCTGTACAAATAGGCGTGCTTGGGTACACGGTGCACGTGCTGTGCACGTGCAAACCTTTTGATGTTGCACTCTGTGTCACACATGCGATTGCGGTGACATGCGGGTAGCGCTGGCAAGCTCAAAGTGCCAAATTTACACAGGCCACCCAGAATGCATCCCAGCATAGTTATTGAGCATATCTATCTCCTGGTGGACCCCAAAGGTGCGCTCTGCACGTGCAAAAAATTATCCGCGCCGGGCGGTGGGGATGCTTGGACATACCAATACCATGTAGGTTTATGTAAATATCTCGAAAACGGCGTTGTGGAGCGCCGCCATTTTTAGCACACCCTTTCATGTATATTTTTTTCATACATGCTGCATAACTCTCAGACCCAGGTCACTCAAGGTTAGGTCACCAGGTTACGTCCAAATGGCCAATTACCTTAGGAAAAGTTACAATGCCCGTCATAGCTACACAGACTGAACAATCGGTCTAAAACGTTGGTGGCCATTACTAAGAGCACCATATAGGTATACGTAAAGTATCTTATCCATAATAAAGTATCAATTATCCATAGTAAAGTAGCTTATCCATAGTAGGTGTCAACCACCACTGATGGCGTCGTAACATGTTACGAAGGCACTAAAACTATAACTTCTTAAATGTTAAACTGAATTCTAAATTCGAAATCAGCTCCAAAAACTGTCCTAGAAACATGTAAAACTCGAAAAGGTGAACCAAGGTCGTGTGCCACATTTGAAAGATTTCCCATTTTATTTTTCCTAGGATAAGAAGCTTCTGTTTTTACCTAATATCGCAAAAAAAATCAAAAATGGGCCTGGAATAGTGCCTTTTTCGCCTAAAAGTTTTTCGGTTTTTAGATATGTATAACAACTGTAGTGGGCTCACCTGCAAACAGGCGTCGGGCAACAATCGCGAATGCGGCGCACTTGTGACAATAAGCAAAGGTCATTATAGTGTTACGACCATACGACGTACGGGAATGAGTTATCAGCTGTCTAATCGTAGACAACACAATGTCGAGCCTTAAAGGAAATAGTTCACATTTTAACATGGGTTTTGAACTGGAATAGCAGTTCCGTAGCTTGGGCTGAGACGAGCATAAATCAGGAGCTTTTACAGCCCAACGATCACCCTAGGCAAAGATATTCTATTTCTCGTCCCGAAAAATGTGTCTTGCGTTGAGGATGTGTGCCTTGCATATATTCGCATCCAGTATGAAACGAGCATGGGTCCCGAAAATTCTTCAGAAACTAGAGAAATTATCTACGAGAACTCTAGAGAAATTCGCTCCAGTGAGGCGCTCCAGTAACAAAAGCACGAGCAGATCGCCCAAATGCCGGTGGCCGCGATAATTTTCAGTTTCTGAAGAATTTTCGGGACCCATGCTCTTTTCATACTGGATCGCGTGTGCCTTACAGAAACTGAAAAGTTCTTCCTATATCAAAAATATAGAAAATAATCTTTTGTTGTAAAAAGGTTTTATTTTCTTTGCTGATCATTTTGAACATAAAAAATCACAAATCCATTGCAAAAAAAAATAATTTCGTGAAAGTGAACTATTTCCTTTAAACTGTAAGCCCGTATTGGTATTGTTTCTTTTATTTGGCTGTCGAACATTATTTATGGTTTGAAATATGATTTTATGTAAAATAATTGATATGAAAAAGCCGTCTTATAAGTTATGACCCCATTTCACCACACGCAAGTGGCAGAAATGACAATGATCAGCTGACGCATTTTTCTTGGCCGAAGTCAGAGCGCGCGGCCCGACGCACCACGCGTATTTGGAAATTCCGACCTCGACGAGCATCAGAAGCCACCTAACAGGCGTGTTCGAAACCGCAGGAGATGATGATGAACGGGTTTATCGAAACTTGATTGGATGAGCATATCGGTAATAGCGATTTCAGTGTGTGCATTTATTGTTCATAGTGGTGTGAAATGTGGTTGGGGTACGACCGACAACCCGTCGGGGCGAATTTCGCACTGGGGTACTCAAAATTTGAAGAATTTAAGACGTTTCCATGAGTTTTGAAGGTATGGATAAGTTCTAAAAATCCGGTTCTCCTTATCTGGGCCATTAACTCCATACGGTCCAAGAAAGCTGGCACACTACCTTTAAAGGTCAGTGACCTTGACCTAATTTTCACGTGACCTTGACGCCCACCATATTGCATGTGACCAACATCACATCACATGTTTGAACGCTTGAAACCACGAAAAGACAGCAAACGCGCGGCTAGTGCGCGCCGACGTAGGTACGCCGAATCACGATTCCGGCCAGACTATCGTAATAGTAACTTAATATCAGATGCTGATTTACGGCTACTCAGTCAAGTTAAACCATTTCTTCTTGGCCGCGGTCACCGGTCCAGGCCACCACATAATCGTATTACACCGCGCTTGCTCAATGCTCAGTTCGTATTGTAAAAACACTGCGGCACAGCATAGATGCAGGCGCTCTTACTACTGCCATCTATGGATGAAAGATGAAGATAATGGTTATTGCGGTACAGTATCACTACAGGCGCAAACAACGTGCTAACAGATGCCTATGCTGCGCTACCGCGGGCGATGGTAGCGTAAATTTGCGTTGCTGGATCAAGCTAAAAGTTTTGGAGCCCGAATTTGACGAAAGAAATGGCTTGCCGTTTTAAAGACCGTATCAAACAATCTGCGGTTACTCTCAATTCTTGCTTTGAGATAATTAGTGGTTTGTTTATCAAACCGTGGTACCTACTTCCAAGCTATTACCAGCACATAACGAGCTTCAGGCGACACCGCTCGTCTATGTTTTGTGTCCTTTTCCTCACGTGAGGGTGATGGGTACCTACTGGAGTAGGCAAAAGTGATATCATTTCCCATTTTCAAATGGATCAGCACCTAAATGGTGAGCCGACCAGGGGGAACGATGAACGTTGTTGTTGTCGTCATCATCGACCATAGGTGGCGGAACGGGGAGGACCTAACCTTGAGTGACCTGGGTCTGAAAGTTATGCAGCATGTGTGAAAAAGATGCATGAAAGGGTGTGCTAAAAATGGCGGCGATCCACAACGCCGTTTTCGAGATATTTACATAAACCTACATGGTATGTCCAAGCATCCCCACCGCCCGGCGCGGATAATTTTTTGCACGTGCAGAGCGCACCTTTGGGGTCCACCAGGAGATAGATATGCTCAATAACTATGCTGGAATGCATTCTGGGTGGCCTGTGTAAATTTGGGTCTTTGAGCTTGCTAGCGCTACCCGCTCTGCCCGTATATGTGACACAGAGTGCAGCATCAAAAGGTTTGACAAAAACAAAACAAAAACAAATACAAATAGATTTTCGTAGTAACAAATAAATTCATTCAAAGTTTTCAAAATTTGCAATCCCGAGGGCTGAGCGGCTGATGGAACACCAAAATTTACCGCCCATGAGCGACTGGTCAGCGGCGGCGGCGGTTGTTTCACACATAGGCGTAGGAACGTTTTCGAAAGTGGGGGGGCCAGGGTCCCAGAGGTCCAAAACCTAACCTACCCCCAAAATCCGATTTCTCCTCGGATTTCGGCCACTTTGTTTTCGCAAACATGCTCAGAGGTAAAAAAAAAAATCGAGACAAAAAAAAAGAAAAAAAAATTGGTTGAAATTTCAGGGAGTCTCCCGTCCATAAACTCAAACTGATGGACGCGTTCCCCTGTCCTCCGCAGCCGTTGGCACCCATGCAAATTCCAGAGGCATCCAGCAACTTTTTCATTACGAGCAAGCGTGAAACGTGCAAAGCGAGTCTTTTCAATATACCTATAAAAAGCAGCATGAACGGCCCAGCTAGGCTCAGCCAGGCCTATAACGTTTTTAAGAGGTTTTATATCCAACGGCATCAGGTCTTCAGAATCCCGTGCAAGGCCTCATAGGCTAATGTGGGTCCTTACAGGTCAGCATGGGCCCTTAGAGGTCAGTGTGGGGCCCTAAAAGACCGGCATGGGCCGGCGTTGGACCCCTCAGGCCAAGGTGGACCCTCAGAGGCCGATGCGGACCCTTAGAGGCCGGCATCGGGTCTTCGGAATTCAGTGCGGGGCCCTCAAAGGCACCTAAAGGCTAGTCTTGGGACCCCAGAGACAGAAATGAGGCCAATAGAGGCCGGTGTGAGGCCCTCAGACGCCGGCTGGGCCCTTGAGGCCGGTTTAGGGGCCCTCAAATGAGGTCAATGTGGGTTCTCAGCGGTCAATGTGGGCGCTTGACCGCCACTGAAGGGCCCTCCGAGATCAGTGTAGGACCCTCAAAGACTGGTTTGGGAGCTGTTAAGTGGGATTCTTGAGTCTCGTGACAATCGAATAAGGGCCAGAGCCCCATACGCCCATGGGGGTCCAT